ATGAGATCTAGAGATTTTCTAGTCAATTAGAAAAATTAGGATAGATTAAGTTTAAGAGTACTTTAGAAATATGATTTAACAGAAGTGGCATTTTTGCAAACAATTCTATTTAGTGGCATAAATGAAAAGTGGCAGTTGAAAGATGGCATTTTTAAAAAATTTTCAAAAGCAAAACCCTCAAAATACATTATCTGTTTTTTTTTTGCTTAATATCTTTTTGCCCAGAAAATATAGTTAAGAAGATTTAGAGTATTAAGAACACATAGGACTACATAAAACAGTTCAAGCTTTGTCTTGTTGAGATCTTCCCCGCCAAGCCATTGATGGCCAAGCTTTCCCGTGATGGCATTAGTTACTTCCACTAGAACCGTGCTGAGGAAGAACCCCATTGAAGTGGAGCACCACCCCAATGCCGTGCTGATGCTCTTCATACTCGCGGGAGCTTCTTTGAAGAAGAACTCTAACATTCCCCCAAGAGTCAACATATCCGAGAAGCTCAACAAAACATACTGAAGCTCTAACCAGAACACCGAGATTTTGATGTTGTTGTGAACCGCTTCATGTTTTCTCTTGACCTCCACGATGGCTGCAACGGCCATCGAAACAGAGGAGAGAGCTAAGCCAATTCTTATGCGTTTCAAATTGAAGCTTGATGATCTCTCGTTGTTGCTTGATGAGATCCTTTTTCCATATAATTCGTATAAAGGTATAGAAAAGAGCATGAAGATGAGAGGAATAGCATTGAGGGATGGTACTGGGATCTCAAAGGAACGAGAAAGCTTTCTGTTCATGATCATGCCTTGTTGTACGGAGAAGGTCGATAGTTGTGCCACGCAGCAGCTCATGACAATTGTGCTGCTAAAGATTGGTAGGAGACCCAGAAACGTTCTTGTTTCTTCAACTTCTGTTGCCGAAATGTTTTTGTTCAACATGGCTTTATCTAAACACCTGAAAAATTAAGTTCATGAAGATATCAAATATTCAAACCATTTACGATCTTTTTAGTAGCTTTGTAGAAATAAAATGCAAACATGCTTAGTGAAGATGATTAGTCTCTTATTCCATTCATTTTGGACAAAATCTTTTTGAGTCTATTTA